GTATTATTGTTCAAAAGTGAACTAATGAGCGTTAATATGCAATATACACAGGCAGCACCGAGAAGTACATTTCCTAAAACATCAAAGGGTATAGAACGAGTTTTTTCTTGATTTTAATCGGTTAGTTTGTATGGCAGCTATATGCTTTGGAATCTGATCTGAACAATATGTAGCATTGTATTGGATTACATTGGACAATGTGTGCCAAATTTCGTGAATATAATTTCTCCAATACAAATGTTTACCATACATGGACTTGATTTTAAACGATCCGGTTGTATGGCAGCAACTTGCTATAGTGATCCAATCTGAACTATATACTCGAAGAGTGTAGTCTTGTCTTAGAAAATAAGCTATGGTAAATTTCGTGAATATAATTTCTCAAATACAAAGGTTTACCATACAAGAACTTGACATTGATTGGTCAGTTTGTATGACAGCTATATGATATAGTACGATAGTCCGATAACGGCAATTTCGCCATATGAACAGCTTCTTGGAAGAAAAGGAAGTATGCGAAATTTCAGATCGATATCTCAAAAACTGTTGACTAGTTAGCGTAGTGCCATTTTAAAGAATTTTGCTTTTATAATCTATTGTTCTAGCAACAAAAGCAAATATTTTCACACCTCAAACTGACTGCTAACAAAGTGGTAATTGGAACAAAAGTTGCCCTAACAAACTTCAATATTAGTTGCTGCCATTTAAAGCACTTCTAGGCTACCCTGATCCCGATAATTTGTTGTTGGAAAAATAGAGCAAACCATAAAAGGCAATTTAAGTGACAGCAGCACACACAAGAAAAGAACATTGGGACACAAGTAACAATTGTCGACAGCCAATGGCTTCAAAAAAGGGTCGCCATATGCACACAGACATTTACACACAAAAAATTTTTTCATACCAGCTCTTTGGGTGAGTAAGAAAAACTTGCTGCTTTGCATAGGCATCAGCAGACACAAAAAATAGAAAAGAAAAAGCAGCAACACCAAAGTTCAAGCGCTAACTGCAGTGACAACTGCCACTACCAGCTACTACTGTGTGTCTTTCTACCCGGCGCTGCATCGTAGCTTTCTCTATGCCCGCCGCGCATGCCAGTTGGTGTAGCGGCAGCGAGAATGAAATGAGATTCATTGACTATTGAAATATTCTTTATTGCCAATACACAAAGAAATAAGAAAATTTCTACATTTCTGCCATTATTTTTAGACTCTGGCGTTATTGTGTTTTCTCTTCTAAACTATTTAATATGCAAATTTCGTATTGTATATCGCTGAAGAAGCAGGTGAGGAGACAGCCCGCGCTGGAGTGGAGTGTAGTGGTTGTTTGGTGTTGATAAGCCAACTTAGCTGGGTCGCATGATCGGTGCGGTCAAATTCGTGCTCTATGCTACAAAATGAACCAAGAAACTTGATTTTCTTTTTATGCGCTTCTTGTTTCTATCTGTATGTGTGTGTGTGTTTGTGTTTGATCTTTTGTTGGAAGCAGCGTCGGGGTGAAGAAAGTTTGAGATTTACATAGAATTTGTGCGCAAGTAAGCCGATTTAAAGATGATTATATCTGTATTGCATATGGTTTTTGTTGTTAGACGAAAAGAGAAACTTCCATATTTCATATTATGTTGGCACTATTTCTGCAGCAGTTTAAAATACTTCAATGCTGAAATATTTGCATAAACGTGCACTAAACGAAGGCCAGACCGCTAATATTTATTGTGTTAATGTTAAAATTGGCGATGGTTTGAACTGAGGGCATGAAAGATGTGAAGTGGAGGAGTGATGTTTTTTTTGAGTTATATAGGTATATTCTTTGCTGCTTGTTGAAGTGAAGCTTAAGCTTCAATGCTTTAGATAATTTTGTAGCATTATATGGCAGTTTTCTTCCCGAGGAATCCAACCGTCTGAAAACCGAATCGGGAAGATGTTGCTTTCTGCATTAGTAATGTCTTCTTGGCCCTTTACTCCTACATGAACAACGTAAGGGAGATATATATGTGTTCGGCAGCTACATTCTATGGAACCATTAAGAACCCGGTAAAAGTTTTATTTATCGATATAATCAGCATTTGAGTGGTATAAAGACTTAACGAGAATGGTGAGATCGGAGAAACTTTCATCATACGTTATACAGATAGAACCCTGCTTTTCACGAAAGCAAAGTGAATAAAATTACGCTCGATCGAAATTTTCAAATCAGCTAAAGAGAATAAATTACGTTTCCAAAATTTTCAATGAAATTCATAACGACCTTACATGTAAAACAGTTCGTGATTTGTTGCCAAAATATATTTAAAAATTAGCATGTTGTGTGGTATAAGAGATTATTATATATGGGACAAAAACTGTTGCCAAACTCTGAACAAATTTATTTGTTCGCTATTTCGTAGAAAGAAATTCGCCGAAGATATAATAAAATCAGCCATTCCTGCTAAATGTTATAACGAGTGCCAATATTAGCTTGACAATATTCTAACTTGAGTTTAATTACAAATCGGGTCTTAACTTTCATGTTGCTTTCGAGAGCTTAACTTACTTAACGGCCGTATGAAATTAATGGAATAATATCTTCCATGTTTATAAAATAGGTAAAGTAGGATACTTTGGAAGATATGAGGGGCTATCCGTGGATGGGATAGTTATGAAAATTATTCGCTATTAAAATTACCGGGTGAAAAAGCTCTTTATTGCCAAATCTATCACTATCTGGAACGCTTGAAATACGTTACTAGTTGGAAGGTTTTAAATCATTATATAGCACACATTATGTTCCCAATACAGTTTCAATTCAGATAAATTTGTATTAGTCACCCATTTAAAACGTTTAAAAATACGAATATCCATGCTGAGTCATAAATCCTTCAAACTGACAACAGAATTTAAATAAATTACTACATTCATTTAATGACGATAATATAAGTTAATTTATAAGTGCTTTTTATGCACGATTATAAAATTTAATGTTTTTTCTACTCATTATGCTAAAATTTATTGCATAACTCAATTCTATAGATTTCGTTAAAATTTGTACAAAAAACCTTCGTTAAAAATCGTAAAATTTTTACATTTATGATTTATCATCGTCAATGCATTTATTTCCACAGACAGAGTCACAGTCGCTTAATTAAGATTTAAAAATAGTCGCAGCTAATGTTGCAATCACTTGTGATGGCCATGCCGCTTGTATTTAAATCCAGCGATTTGCTTTATAATGAGTTTTTTTTTGGTCGCTTACATATTGTGCTGGTGACATTTTCGTTGTAATTAGACGTGACAAATATCGCATGTGAGAAAATTGTTGGTTTGTTAGGAGATCTACATCTATATAAAATATATGAAGCATTGCGCACCACTTTTGTTTGTCCGAAAATGTTTGTGGTTTTAAGCCGCAGTGGTTTTTGCATGCAATTAATTGACACATTTTTCTTCTCTTATGTGGCATTTTGCTATGCATCATTTGCTGTGTGTGTTTCATGTTGGCGCTGCTGGTCAATTGTTATTTGCTCTTTGCTGTCATTTACTGGCCTTTGGGCAATTTCGTTTAGTTGCTTCATTGCTTTATTGCACTTTTCTCTACCTCTATTGTACTATTCATGAAATTTGTTTTATTTTTATTTTTTGCCTTGTCTATTACCTTCGATTTGGGTCAATTGCTTTTGCGCTAATTTATCACCGAGCCACAGAAATTAACAAAAGCCTTTGAATATTTTTTCTTATCAAAAGATTTGATGTCAGCGGGATTCAGTTGGCGGTTGCAAAAACGGTTGTTTGTATGTACGCATGTATGTTTTATTTAACTCAAAATTTTGTTGTTGTTTTCTTATTTGAGAAAATAAATGTGGTAAATAGTAGAGGTTTTTTCTGATTGAATTTTGACAATTTCAAACGACGACCGTTAGTGAGCGATGTATCGCAGTATAATCCAAAGACTTTAGCAAAGAACTTTTTCCCTTTTATTTCATAATTTATGTAATTTCTATTTAACGTCTAGTTTCATTAAAGTTTACAATTATTAAAAATATCTGAGTATAGCATATTACAATGTCTGTATATGCAATTAATTTTAATTAATAGTAGTTATAAAAGGACATTAATTATTGACATTTTAGAGATATTAGCTTAATAGATATTTGTATAAAGCGATTCTATATTTTATATTTTATAATTTTTTTTACTTTATATTTTGTATTTTATAATTTATATTTTTGTTTTATATTTTACATTTTATATTCCACAATTTTGATTTTGTATTTTGTTGCGTCTTACAAAAAACTAATAATCTTTTTTAAACAGTAAAATAATTTTTAGCAACAATAAGCTTAGCAATTACTTATACATTGTCAAAAAAATGGCGGAAAGATTTAATTTACTCTCAACGAAGCTAAGAAATTAAAAACACATTAACTTCTCAACCACACCCTACCAGCTTAAGACCACTTCTCGTGCCGAAAATACGATTATTTTTAAAGTACTTTGTTTAATACGCTTCTCCAATTTTTTTTTATATATATTTTTTCTTTTTTTGGTGTTTTTGCCTCTGCCTGTGTGCCATGCATGAGCTGCCAATTAATTTCGACTAATGCCATAACCACAAAAAGTGTTAATGAGCGGAGGAAAATAGTTATTTTTCATGTATGTGGTCCAAAGTTATATATATATCGCTTTATTATTGTCTTTGGTTTGTGTCTGCTGGCCATGAAACGGTTTTTTGCGAAGCTTAGAAATAATGCCAAAATTTGGTTTAAGCTGTGATGATGAGAAAATGGTTTTCAAAAATGTATTTGTACCAGAAATCTAATACTTTTTGGTTAAACTACTGCTACGTATTACTTTTTTAGTTTGTAGTTGGTATATTCGTAAGTATATATAAGAATTCAAAAGTAAGATTTCGCTCATACTCAATTTATGCTACCCAAAACAATTTTAAAAATATAAAATATATATAATTTAAAATTATTTAATATTTTTCTAATAATATTAATATTTACTTATATTTTTTTGCAGCAAATATGAAGTCATTCACACAACTTGTCTATGCGGCACTGCAAATTATCGTGAGTATTTTACCTTAAGACATATTTTCGCTTAAATTAGAATGCTATTAGAAATCGGCTTATAAAAAAAATTTGGAACTACAACCATTTACTGGAAACATATACGAATTGTCTTAAAAACAAATCATAAAAGCTTAGTCTCTAGCTTTAACGTTCTTCTTGAACCCAAGTAACCATAAAATGACCAGTGACCCGCAAACAAATTCAAAATCGTCTAATAAAAATATTCAGCACACGAAATTTTTTTTTATTTTTTTTATTGCAAGTCATTGTTTATGTGTGTAAATTGTAGTCCGGCAACACCACGCGGTATCATGAAGTTCGTTACAAAGTTCTGCTTGTATTGACCTCAGAGGGTTAATTGATATGTGCCACATATTCCCTCAGACTACCAGCATAATAAAATTTCGCCACCTTCTGTGCAGTTGCAACATTGCATTCGCTCAAATCATTTGCAAGCTAGCCATGCACACATCCACATATGTATATACATCTAAGCTTTTCTATGGGAATCCACACAGAAGCGATATTTTATGAAGTTCCTATACTCATGTGTGTATGCAGAACTTTGTTGCAAAAACAGCTAATTTCCGTAGATTGCAGTAATTTTGGCGAAAGTGCCTATACCGTTAGTTAGCAACGTGGGAATGTAATTTTACACATCTTCCTTATTGCGAATATTCATTGGTGGCTGGTTAATGGTTTTAACTGAAGATTTGCAATTTTTACAATACTTCACTTGCTTGAGTTTTGCATTACGATATTCTTTCTGAAATTCCTGAAAGCTTAACTGCGGTTGTCAGCTTGCGGTAACAAATAGAAATTTAATTATCTAATTTTCAGTCAACACGTTGGGTTTATTTAATGACTATTTTTTAGGTGAGGAGTACTTAAAGGAGTTAAGAGAAATTCACTTTGAGTTAACCCACAAGTAAATTGAAATAATAGTAATTGGCCTTAACTAGACTGAAACTAGGCCTAAAGTGTTACATAGTAGTTGTTTTCAAGAGAGAATGGTTTTGTTAAACTTCGTTCAGATTTTTATTTTATTATACCTTGATACTTTATGCAGTCACGAAGTTTGTAACGCCCAGGAGGAAATGTCGGATACACTATGAAGTACATATATATCACATATAAATGATCAGTGTGACGAGCTGAGTCGATTTAGCCATATATGTCTATCTGTCTGCTTGTCTGTATATATATCGGTTATTGAAATATCGATCTGAAATTTTGCACACGCCCTTTTCTCTCCAAGAAGCTGCTCATTTCGGAAGCCGTCGATATCGCACCACTGTAGGATATAGCTGTCATACAAATTGAGCGATCAAAATTATGTGTGAAGGGTATTATAGCTTCGGTGCAAATGAAGTTAACGTTTTTTCTTGTATTTAATTACAATATATTTGGACTTTGACTAGAAAATAAAGAGGAAATTAGATGATATATATATCTGTAAATATAAATATTTAATTTTTGCTTTCTCATTTACGTAAATATTTTTCACTATTTTGTGACGCTACTATAACTGTTAATTAGATGTGATACTATTTTGTTATTTTTAATTTTATAATTTTTCATATTTTTTATGAATTATGCTTCAGTTAATAAATAAAGACCGCTTGCGGTTGTTGAGCAGTGCTACTTGCATCATTATTATAAAAACAAGTGTCTATGAAATGCATTTGCAAATGAAGAAATGGTGTTAAAATATAGTTAAATCTTACGTCACATTTATACGTGTCTTTTAAAAGCTTTCCCACAATTGAGTCATTTTTTTATTAAATGAAATGTTTTACAGGCTAATGTGTGACAGTTTCTGTTAAGATATATAATATAATACAATACAAGTATGTTACGGTAAGCTTCTACAAAATCCTAATCTTAGTAATCAAGTAAAGTAAAAATGGTTTATCGCTTACTAAGTTTTTAATTATCTGTAAAATCAATAAAATTTTATTACGAAAATTATTCAATATTTTTAAACCTCTGTGATCATTTCCTCGAAAAAAGGAAAATAAGTAGAACTTGGAACTTCTAGCCACTGTATTATGAAAAAATCTCTCCAAGTGCAACAACGCGAAATTTTTCGGAATTTTTTTTGGCTTTTAACACATCAATTCCCGCTTCCGACAATGACTTTGGCCCTTTTACCTATCAACTTAAATTAATCAAATTTTCTCAATGGCCAAAAAATAATGCGAAAATATTATGAAAAATACCCTACCTCTATCAATTGTTCATGAGTATCACGGACATAAACAACTAGACCCCTGCAATATTCGAAATTATTTTCTGTCACCTGTCAGCTTTCCGCACAAAATTATTATTTGCGTGACATGGTTATATTGTCAATTGCTGAGGTTTGACTTAACAATGAGAGGAAACAAGAAACTGGCAATATTTTCTGAACCCGCTATATTCTTTGGAATGAATTAAATTCAAACAGATAATAATTGTATGTGTAAGTATACATGTATATGTATTCTATTATGATCTGCAACTAATTAAAATTACAGTTCAACCGCGTTAGGCTTTCTAAATAAGTTGTAACATTCAAAAACCATGATAGTGGAGTTGGGATCTTTTATATACTTATATATAAAATAAATTCCAATGCCTGTATTTATATAAATAATAATATAATGACTTCTATTTTCTCTAATTTCCAGACAATCGCCACTTTGGTCACACATGGTGCACAAATACCAACAGCAACGAGTAAGTTAATTATTTTAGAAATGCAAATGATAATTTTACTGTATGAATACCGCAGAAAAAAATAACAATAAGTGAATCAATTGATTAACCATTAACACAATTTGAAAGGAGAAAAGGAGCAAAGAGTTTTATAGTACACACATATGTACACAAAACTGTAAATATTATATGCATAAACTTATATATTTATTGTGATTAGAATAAGTAAACAAATTATTAGAGCTGCGGATAGATAATTATAGGAAATGAAAGGCGAATGGTTTAGTGACTAAAATATTTGTTTATATAGAAAGAAGTCAACTTAAATGCGTGGATTTCATTAATTAATTTCTAAAAATATTAAGAAATATTTATGGTAATTTGAAATATTTTTCTCTTTTAAAAATAAATCGAAGAAAGAATTGTAAATGTTTAAATTTTCCAAATAGATATTATTTGAAATTCAGGAAAAGATTTGAAAGAAAATCGGCAAAAGATTTTGCTGCGCTGTCAACATCGTCAGCCACTCAATTACTGACAGATGTTTTAAAGGTGAAACTGGAACAAACAGATAACAGACAAAAGTCTTCAGTTTTATTGCAAGACTCCAAAAATATTCTATACTCTAGTGATAAGAGTAGTTCTCTTTCAAAACTCTCTCATTTATCATTCCTTGCCAAGCAGACAATGTTCTCGAATTAGTTTCGTTTTCTGAAGTCACTACTCTTTCGATTGTTACGTTTCAGTTGAGTTATCTTACGTTTTCCAAAACATAATTATGTGTTCCATTTCCGGTTGATCGAGGTTTCTATCATGAGAATCGAGTATATCAGTGTTGCACAAAAGTGTTTTCTAAAATAACTACAAAAGTTTATTTATTAAAAATTAAGTCCTTCAAGCTCTAAACCCTCACAATGGTTAAACAAGTAAAAACAGAAAAATAAAGAGAGAGAGAGAGAGTGACTAGAGAATTAAAAAAAGTGAGAGGGAGCTGGAGAAGGAAAAGTCGCATGTTATCTCCAAATACTTCTCTGCAAAGGTGAAGATTGCCTGTCAATTGTTTGAAAAAAGTTCTCAAGTTCCAAAGTTGATACCACTTCTTCTCCCTGTATTGAGTTTCAGGGGGAAGTAATAACCGGAATACTGCGATAGCTGAATATGATGAATTTCAGTAAAATACCCAGCTAAAGATATTAGCTTCGCTGTTTTCTGATATATTATATAAATCAATTTAGTTCGGAAGGAAATGGACTTTATGAGAAGGAAGTCAGTATATGACTAATCGAGGTCTGATGATTTTCTTTTTGTTAATATATATAACAAAATATTAAGTAAATTTAGGTCAGATACAAAATTTTTTTCGGCTTAATTGTAAAAATATTAGTTATTCGCTTGGTAAAAAAATTAAATTGCAGGATAAAAAAAGATTAAAAAATCGCAAAAAATATGCAACAAACAAAGTTCATTTTAGCTGTTGTTGCGATCGCAAATAAAATTATAGCAATAACGAGCGTAAAAATGCGCACAGCTGACTTCAACCGGCATGAATTTACTTTAGTTGCGGCGCATGAAAGTGAATGTGTGGACGGCACAAAAAAAAGCTAACGAAAAGCAAAAACAATTCAAAACTTGTTAAGTAAAAATTTATTCGAAATACATGGCAATTGTATATGGAGTAGACAAAAACGCCGCCTAACGGTAGCGGCTGTTTACAGGTTTGTCTGTGTAATGAGTATGTGAAAAAAATGCAAGCATATTTTTTTACTTTTTTTCACATTTCATTGCTTATTCCATTGCATATTTTTGCAGTTTTTTATATTTTTGAAATAAAATTTTGTATCTCTTTGCCGACATCGTCTTAATATGATTTCAATTATGCCCAACCGCCGGGTTTTGTTTTCGGGGTGTTTTACTTTGTCACCCACACAATCCCAGTGGATCATGTTATACCGAAAAATTGATTTGCCTTTGTGGCTTTCACTATTTCGCAATATCGCTTTGTTTTTAATATTTGACCGCTGTCACATAGTTACATGCCACTGCAATATGCTCGCACATGCGCCGATACTTGTGAGCTTATTTACTTGTTGGCATTAGCAAATTGTGGCAAATTTCATTTCGTAAAAAAAACAGTTTGGAAACGAATTATTGTTAGTTGAATTGTTGCTATTGCACAGTTGCGATAACATTTGTCATATTGCTGTCCCAATGACAAACGCTTTGTTGCCAAATGTTGGTGTGTACACAAACACTCTCACTAAGTTGCTTGAATATTGTTTATTGTAGATAAGAAATTAGAATAGCACTGCTCGTAATTAGGTTAAGGATAATTAGGTGCAATATTGTGGTTTGAAGTACAAATGTAGTATGTACTACTTGTATTTACTTGTAGTATATTTGTATATATTGATATGCTCATAGATTGGAACTGGAAAACTCTTCACAAATAACGAATTTTTCATACAAGAACGTGATTTACATCGTTCAGTTTGTATGACAGCTATATGATATAGGTTTCCGATATCGGCAATTCCGACAAATGAGCAGACTCTTGGGATGAAAAGAGAGAAAATATCAGTTTTGCATAAATAAGTCTTTTAAACTTAAATGCTTTCTTAATGGTACAATTAATAGAAATAGGAGGAGATAGTGTTAGGGAAGTATAAGAAAAACAGAGGGAGATGCGAGAAACGTTTGTAACACTTTTTTTTTATTTTTTATTCATTTCCTATTACCGATTACCTAGTATCTATGATCCATTACTTAAACCGAAAGTTCAAATATATGAGGCTGGGAAATCATACGAGACTTCAAATTAAAAATTAGTTAAATATTTTAGGGCTAATTAAATATTTTTGTCAGACGTAAGACCTTTAGAATTTTTTCCTTAAAGGTACATCAAACTCTAACCATAATTTTGAAACGGCCTTACTACTTATTGAAAAAGACTAAATCTGAGCAAGATACTACAAATTACATATTATATTTACGTCCCATAAGTCGGTAGTTTAAGGAAGCGGAAATCTTTAATTATCAAATTCTTGTGACTAGCCCACCAAAAATATATATACCCATATATTAGAAAATATATATATTAGAAAATGTAAAACAAAAATGTCTATCGATAGCATTCCGAATTTCGTAATATTGTGTAATAGAATAGATATGCCAAAAGTAAAGTAGTTAGATTCTACACCAGAACATTTATGCAACCATCTTATCAAATTTGACCAGAACTGGCTAATATAAACTGCGCGCACAAACGCACCAATCAGGCTACGGACTCGTTGAAAATATTGCAAAAGTGTTTTGGTGCTTTGAGTGGCACATAGCATTCAGTAAAGGTCGTGAAGTTATCGAAAACTTGACTCATCCGAGTCGTCCATCTACCTCTCTAAAAGACGATAACAACTAAAAATTAAAGAAATAATGCTTGAAAATCGTTGTGTTGACAACAGAGAAATAACAGAGGGTCTCAACATCCCTTATGGATCGACTCAATACATTTTGGTTAATGTTTCGGTTATAAAGCTTGTCTTTTAGTATGAGTCTAGTACTAAAAGAATCAAAACAAAAACGACGTCGAGTACAGGTTGCAAACGAGCTGCTTGACAACGTAGTTTAGGACCCTACAACTACATTCATCAAACGTATCTTTACTGATGATAATACGTGTGTTTATGAATATGATGTCGAAACTGTTGAACAATCTAGCGAATGGCGCTGCAAAAATCAGGTCGCAATCCAAAATTCGCTGAACACACTGAAGGCCGTCCCAGACGAAGCTTATAACAAGTGTATAGAAAATTGGATTAATCGGTCGCATGCTGGTACTGACTCAAAAGGAGTCTATTTTGAAGACGATAATAATTTATTTTTGTTATCAAAATACGTGAAAATTAAGGTTTTTTTGTCATCCCGGGTCAAATTTGATCAGCTGGTGTACAAAAAATGAAAATAAAATAAAAATTCCATGTATCCGCTTGCACTAAGAATTTTCAGCTTAATACTTGAATTATTCCGTTTACTACTTTTCTAAATACTACATAACTAATAAAGTTAAGACAGAAAAGCTAGTGCTATATATATTCAACTCATTCTACAGAGGCTTATGCTGTCAAATAATACTAAGCTTTTTTCATAGTCTTAACACCAATAGTCTACAATAGTCTACAACTAAACTTAACCCAACCTAACCTAACCTCAACTTGCAGCTTTACATTGTTGATTAGCATGAAATTATAAAATTTTTTGCAACTAATACTTTTAACAGCAGGATTTAGATTCCAAAAGAATAGTAAGAGAAATGCCAATTTTATAAATACATATCTATACATATACATATGTACATACACACTATGTTAAAGGTATATGAAAAGTCGTGTGTGAAAAGTCTCTATTCAGCAAATACTAAAAATTCGCTTTGGTCATCGGATTAAGCGGAGTTAAATTCATGTTGCTATGAGCTTAGAGATACATATGTATGTATATACGTAGACTTATGCATATGTACATACACATACACATATCATATGCATGCACACGGTAGTGCGCTTACAGCTTTGGCTGCGTTTATGGTTAATAAACTTAATCAGTCTAAAGAAATTGCAGAATTATAAAGTGGATAGCTGAAAAAAGTATAACATGTGGCATGCAACTTGCTGAGTTGCCGCATATAATTTTAAAGTCATGTAATACCACAACTTCAACGCGTGCAACACGCTGCTGGCGGACGTAGCAATGTGGCGGCACTGTGTGTGTGTGTGTAAGCAGCTGGGCGGCGAACATAGAAGGCGCTTGCCTGCGCTGGGATGCTGTGTTGCCATTTTTATGACATCACAAAACTTGCTGACGGCTGCAAATGCAACTGCCACAGCGCCTGCGCCTGCGCCTTCGTCTGCTCGTTTGTCTGCTTCTGCGCCTTAGTTGGTGTCGCCGCAATGAACTGCCGTGTGCGGATAAAGCAATTCGTTAGGGCGTGCACATGAAAAAAGCGCTAGAAAAGCAGTTATGTCGGTTAGAAACTAGAAAACTGGCGACCATGAAGAGCATGAACTTGCAACTATAGAATAGATTTAACTTGTAGCATCGCCTTCGGTGTGGCAAGGTGGGGGAAATGCAACAAAGCAGCTATGCGCAGAATTCGCAATAGAAGATGTTGCAGTAGGCTGGCTCGGTTACTCGCCACAACGGCTGTGGCAGCTGTAAACGCCAGCTGTGGCCTGCACATAGAAGCGCTTGAAAGGCATTGCACTTTGGGTGCAAAAATAAAAAGGGTTCAGTGAACTTGACAACGGCATTTGTGGCAGCAATGCTGAAATATGGGCACACATACATATATACCTACTTACATAGTCTATGTGATTGTGTGGCTTACGGACCATGCTTGCATCAGGCCGGAAGCATTAGTGGCGTAGTCAGCGTTAGATGTTGGTAGTTTATTTGAATCGGTGGCAATAAGCAATCCGTGGGTCTTCATAGTGCAACGGTATTGACCGGCAGTAAGGCTATATACGTGTGTTAGGCAAATGGTGATGTCTGTCTAATGGATGTTGTTATTTATGTGCATCCTAAATTGCCACTTTTATTAGTCGTTAGTATAAAAATTATGTACAATTTGTCTTGTTGCATGTTTGGATGGCTTGTAGTGCGAAAACTGTCATATACCATATGTATAATATTTTTATGTTGTTTGAAAATCCGATGTGTGATATGATCGATATTAAGGAAAATATATAATTACAAAGTTTTCCGATGTTTAAGCTCTGAGCTATTTTAGAGCTTTCAATTAAGCTTCGAATACTAAAAATTAGGGCTTTTCGAAGGCAGATATGGGCGACATATAGAAAAAAAATACCAATATATACTTGTTTTTAAGCTTTGAGCTTTTTCCGAGCTTTCAGTTAACCTTCAGTTACCAAAAATTAGAGATGGTCAAGGATCTTTATGGTAAATTTTTAGGAAATGGAGTAAATGCGAAGTTTTTTGGTGCTGTTGCTTTGAGCTTTTTCCAAGCTTTCAGTTATGCCCCGCAGATATGTAGTAAGAGTGGTTTCCTTAATTGAATATAAAGCTTCGAAGGTGTTAAGACTACTCTAAGTGACTGATTTACATTTGTGATTCTTTTCAAGCCAAAAAATTTACTTGTTACTTAGTTCTTGCACTACATTTAACTGCAAACCTCTGTGTACAAATTTATTACACACAACTGTTACGCAATTTCATATATATGAACTAATATTATTTGTCGAACCTTTACCATGCCAAAGGTGTTGGGTAAAGGCGGCACTTCGCTACCACGATAATCGCCGAACCGCAACGGGTGTGCGACCGGCTGAGCGACTCAAATGTTGTGCAACAGGAAATCAGCAATAACTTAACCGCAGTTGCAACAAATCAAAAGGTTCTACTTCTAGCATCATGGCTTCACGAGTGGGTTCAAAGAACTTTCTTGGCCCACACAGTTATGCCATTTGTGGCGTGCCATAGCGAGTGATACCTTCTCGTGAGCACAGTGTTTGTTGTTGTTGTGATTATTTGTAGCTTTTTTTTTTTGCTTAAAGCTCAACAAACATGCATCTTTTCCTGGCAACTCACCTTTGGTTGCTTCTATATGACTGTGTCTGGCGGCTTCGGTATTTGTTTCTGTCGCATCTTACAAACGCTAATCTCGGTGATCTTTTGCCATTGCAAGTCTTGCTGGAGTCTTTTTTGTGTGCTGGCTGTGTACCTTAAATTGCCGCAATGTGTCGCAGTTGGCATGCCATAACAAGCTCAGCTGCTTCTCAGCTCAGCTTCTTCTCCTTCTTTTTCTACCATGTACTCTAGTCTTATTTGCTTCCGCGTTTCTGCATGCGCAATTCTTCGGTTTTCGAGTTCCTTCAACTTGTGTCTCTACTTTTGACTTGTCTCAATGTCATGAACGCTGTACTCGTTACCAACTGTGGATGCACCTTTAAATTTATTTTTGCATAGGTACATACCATATACAAGTACATACTGTCATATATATTTATGTACAGATAAACTCGCATGCTTTAACTAGGTGTCTGCGAGTGATTTTGTAATGCATTATTTCTGTTTCTACAGATGTCACATACCATGAATCACTGAATAAACAAATTGAGGTTAGGTTCAAGTTTACGGTAATTAATTAAGTGAATAAATATTTAGAAGTAGTCTTGTTGATAATTTGAAAAACTATGTTCTTCGTGATAATAGCGATTGAAGCGAAATAGTTAAGAGCGTCCAATAATCAGTCCCGTATATAATTTGAATGACTCTGAAGGAGAATTTTACCCGATTTAAGTCAAGTATATAAGAAAAGCTATCGCTTGTTTGAAATGTCTATCGTGAGGACTTTATAATAGATCATGTAATGATCAAAAAAACATTATGTATTACTAGATGTTGGTGAAAAATTCATTATATGATTCATTCATTATATGATTCGATACTCAATATTAAATTTGAAGCTGAATTTAGAACTTTCTCCGCTCGGAAGCTCACCAAAAAAGTTGTGGTGTTAAACCTAAATTCTTTTTCTATTATGAAGTTAAGCTAAGAAGTTTTTCACTCACAACGGCTAATCTCGGCCTCAGGATCGGATTTATAGTTCAGTTTTTTAAATCCGTGATTAGAGCCGGCATATTTGAGGTTATAATTTCTAGGCGTTCTAATACAGAAATTATGTGTAGGACTAAATTTATGTTACCTAAGTAAATTTCTTCAGACATATTGTCCTAAAATCGTCTGTTATATATTCTAAGCGGCTTTTTACTATACCAAAAAGTACAAACCAATTTGTATTCGAATTTCACTTTATCGATTTATTTGACTTACATTTTTTATATGTACATATAATAATGCCATTATAATATGTATTACACGTTCGAAAATTTAGGCCAATTTAATTTTAAAGTCACATGCTCCAGGCCTTTATGCGCAATTGTCACCAGCGGAAGCAGCTTGACACCCACTTTGGTCGGTGATAACCAGTTGATTAAGGGAAATACCGTTCGAAGTCAGGACATTTTCAGCTCTCGCGATAAGTTCGGCAGATGGTATTCGCTCACGGGTCAAGATCCAAACAATTACTGTGAACAAAAGAATATGGATAAAATTTAAAGAAAATAAATATAGGAGTACGTACAGCTATGTGAATCGTCCTGCGTCGGTTGGCAGGAGTAAACAACGCTGTAGTTATTGTAGTCGGTGGACAAAACCCAATAATTGCTTGAAACATTAAAGGCAGGGCTGACAGCGAAGGTAACTAGCAATTTAGCATTTTCGACCACCACGGCATAGCCATCAATGTCAGTGGTTTGATTGGTGCTAAATAGTGGAGAAATATATGAATTGAAAATAGAATGTAGAAAAAGATACTTAGTAGGCGTAATAGTTACAAGTTAGCAACGAATTGGGTATAAAATTTATACCTAAATAAATGTTACTCACGCTTCGTTGATCATGCTGTTCACCACACCCACTTGACTATTATTCCTGAGCGTATATTCAGCCTTTATACATTTACCATTAGCCTCGAAGAATGCAGGATATTTGGCATATTCATACCATGTGCCCAAATACTGCAATGCCCATGGAATAAAATTGAGGAATTTCTTTACTAAAATATATTTTTACGAGTAACTACTTACCGCAGCCACATCGAAATTGGGTTGTACTTGCACATTACACGGACAAGCACCGCTAAATTGCACTTGTGCTTGAGCGATGCCGAAGAGCGCCAAGGCGACAATTGTTAGAATAGTTCTGAAAATATGAAAAATTAAATAGTAATAGTTTTATCTTTGGACATTTTTCGCCACTTACTTTTGCATACTGACAACTGTGGTGTTCTGTTTACAATGTGAGAATAATGTTTAATTTGCGCTGACACTAGCCTTTTTATAGCAACGAATTGACTATTTTCTCGTTGCTAACGATGCTCATGCCTATGTTTGAAAGGCACAGTGTACTATAATGGGCGAAACTTTGTTGTTAAAATTTGTTATTTTTTATTTTTAATTTTTGTGACTTTTAACTTGTTTTAATATTTATCAATTGTTGTAGATTAATTATTTTTAATAAATAATATATAACCTTTTTAATAATGTTTAAGATTTAAGTAAATTTTTTAATATTTCTTATTATGTTGTTATGTTAAATCAATATTAAAAATAAATTTTTAGTTTTTTTTTAAATTTATTTTACTTAATTATATCATAATTTAATTTTTTTTTAATTTAAAGAATTAATATTAATTTTTTATCTTTTATTTTCTACATAAAAACAATTGACAACCATTGTAAAAAAACATGTAAGACAATAATTTTATAATTTTTTTTATATATTAGATTAAGTTTCTTACTTTTTTTCGTAAAAATCTATCAAAACACTAAAAAATTATCTAATAATTATCATTCACTACCCCACTGCATTTGCACTCATTACATCTTATCTCTGCTATTATTTATCGTACTTTCAAATCGTATACATCCGATGTAACAAAAACATTGTTTGAGTGCAAAATCAATTTTTGCAATGAAATTTTTCTATAGTACAAATATTTTCTGTTTGATGCTTTTACTAATTTTAGTTATTAAATAATTCATATCTAAAGTATAGAAGTGTGTTTTAAAAAATTAATTTAATTTAATAAAAATATTTTAGAAATTTATTTTAAACTGTTTGTATATTTTTTAAATTTCTTAATAATTTCAATTTAAAATATTTACACCCTGTGCTAAAATAATATATTTTTTTTTAAATTTCTTGCAGAAGAAGCCCTGTCAGAATTGGACGCCACCGCAGAAGCGTCCGATTTCATCTCCACAGCGAAATCCAGCATTGAACCCACAGTGCGAATAAAATGTTTAAGCGGTTCCATGTTGATAACCATCAAAGATGCACCGTTAAATCATGAGACTGGCCTCTTTAGTGGCATGATTTATCCTAAGGGGCTGTCGAAGAATTCGACATGTCTTACCGAGTATAGGTGAGTGAAGTGTTCTCAAAATTAGAGTAGTTAAACTGGTTTTTCGCTCAAAAAAGTGTAACAAATGTGGAATAACAAAACATATTATATAGTTTCTAAGAAATTATTTCTATTTTTAGGGATCATGATGGCCCATTGCGATACAAGTTACCGTTACGCAGTTGTAATACCATGCCACAAGAAACGGTAAGTGGAGAATATTGAATAAAACATGTATGAATTATAAAATTTGTGGCTAGTCATCACTTAGCGAAGGGTTGCCTAAAGCAAATATTATTTTCTGAAATTCGCAACAGTTTTAATGAAGTCTACTTTCTTATTATTCAATTATATATGGATGAACTGTTGTTAAGGGTCGCCGAACTTTTTATATAATCACTTGTTATGGTTTAAAAATAGTTTTTTTTTTAATAACTATTAAAATACATAATTTATGATTACTAAAATTCATTCTTTGCACCCCTAACCATATAGTAAATTAAATCACAATTTTAGAAAAAAATTTGGTGAAAACAGCTAACTTTAGTAAATTTTCTCATATTTAAGCATTAAAATTTGAATAAAGAAATCTCTAAAAATTATTAAATAAATATTAATTTGTTTTTGCGCTACGCGTTTGTTTTTAATATTTTATTATAGATAAATCTGTAGCACTCTAATTGCATTTACATTTTTTTTAATAGCAAATTATGTAATTTATTGATAATCAAACAACATGATTACTTAACTTGCAGCATCATTATTGCTTTCACATTGTGTTATATTTGTTATCTTATCAAATGCGCGCGCTACATGAAATATTTGTTTGTATATGAAACGCCTAATTCTTTTCGTTTTCATTTCGCTACTTTCTTTGCACATAACACAGTAATTATATTTGATAAAAATCTACAAAGGAAATATCAAGTGAATAGTTTATCTTTGATTTTGTTAACATATTTGTTTTTACACTTACCTAATTGCCAATAAGTCACTGTCTCCTATCACTTGCACTTTGCTTCACACGAGAATATTGTCTGCTATGCGTTATGTACTTAAATTGGAGACTATGCGATTGTGATTCATTTAGTTACATTCTCAAGTAAGCATGAATTTCCAATTTTCTGACAAACAGTATATTCATACTGAAATCAGTATATTCATCACATTGGAGGTCGGTAAAGTTAAGAACACTTATCACCACTTGATATTTTAACAAACTTTAATGAGATATCTTCTTCGCCAGTCGATGTATGAGGACTGGAGTGATATATACTCTTACTTTCTATTACTATTTGAGAGATATTTAGATCTATTCAGACTATTTTAGATACGAATTATTACATGTAAGACACACTATTTGTACTAAGTTTAAAATTTTACTTAAAACTGGCTACTTTCCAGTGTAAGAGACATTTTGCTGAGCGATTTGATTAATATAATATAAATACTCAAAACACATTGAGAACGTGGCTGTGCTGTTATTAGATACTATTTCTAAAAAATAATGAAAATAACCTTCAGTATTCCGTTTTCTTTTTGTAATAATATGTGTCATTGACCCCTTTATTTTCTATGCTGTAATATATATTTTTTTCGTTTGAATGTCATTCAAAACTATGCCATAATTATGGTAAACTATCATGCATCCACTGTACATACTGCATACTCATATAGCATAAGCATAAGCGAGCTCTTTATGACTAACAGAGCTTCCAACAATTACTTAATTACCAGTAGGTTCTATTGTATACGTACATATGCGACACCCAGTGATGCGACATTTGCAGTGTCAGTGACTTTGACCTTCATTGATTAAACTTGAACTCTTTGTCATACTAAGAGAGAGAGAGAGAGAAAGAGAGAGAGTTCACAGAACGTTAAAAGCAATAGAGGCCACAGATTGGCTAAAAAAATTGTAATTAATTGTGGGTAAGATTTTATGTCAACAATGGAACGGAGTGGTGTGAGGGTGTGTTTACATACAAACATATTATAATGAACTGACTTGACTTTTGAGTAGCACAAGATGTAAATTTAAAGTTGTAGCCTCCTCGGCGATCTGTGAGTTAATGTGGGTATTATTATATGCCTTTCGTAGTTACAACAACATATGTTAACCGTAATTAAATTGTAATTATAGTAAGCATGCGAAAAATCTCAAGCTGAGACTGTTTACTATAGTTAGTGTTGATAACAACAACAGCAACAACATTAGCTAACTTTAACAAAATCTAACATGGCCAAAGCAATAACTAACGGCACACCATGAACTTGATGGCAAAAGTCAGCACCTTCACATGCGCCGCTTCTCCAACTCATTGACTCGACTGACTTGCGTTGACTAGATGCTGACAAGGAAGTTAACTTGACTTTTGTGACGTCGAAAGCATAGCTATGTAAAACCGTGCAAAAGTTAATTACTTTCAACCACAAAGTACTTAAAATAATAGCTTGTGGAAGGAGCAAGATAGAGTTGATGGGGAGAGATAGTAGTAGATGAAATCGTTTTAAGTTTACTTAGCTCTTTATTATGCGTTGTGTCTCTCTATACATATATATATAAATGATGCTCTATACATATATATATATATATATTTTAATTCTATTTAAAGCAATGATTACATTTTATATATATATGGTATACATGACATACGTAATATATTGTATAAAATATATGTATACTCGTATATAAGATTATGTAATCGTTGCTTTAAATAGAATTTAAATTTACTATTTGAAATATAAAAGAGTCCAAAATAAACAAACTTTACCTTTCCGGTTTGGCTTGAATCTTTTCAAGCACGCTTGAGAATTTTGATGAGCGATATATTTTTATAAAGACTTTATAGGAGCTATAAACTCAAAATATTCTTTTTCAGCTTTTTTCCTTCAGCAGCATAAATATCTTCATTGATACAATTTATTTTGATTTTACAAATTTAATTAAATCTCTCCACAATTTAACTCAAAATTAAGGTTTAGTGAGTTTTACTGAAGAATATTTTAATATAAGGTGTAGTACAAAGAAATCCATTATTTTTGCATCAAATTGAATTAATCATCCGATTTAGGTGAAATATGCGCTGATTTGTTTAATAACTTCTAACCTTCTTCCTTGTAGGGGCAGTCGATTTTTACAAGTTTCTCATAAAGCAAACTTTTCACCACAAAAATCATTTGCCATAAACAAAAACAGGTAGTAATCACACTTGTGACGGTCCACTTGTTGACAGTACAAGTCCAAATTAAGAGTTTGGCCGTAAGGGAGCAGATTATTCCCTGCCGATCCCACTAAATATTATATATGCCAAACCTTCTTGACCGTCAATCTTGACTTGGTCACCATTTACCCCGGCACAACGCGATTCGACTATGACCGTTTTCCGTTGACGTTGTTGTAAGTGATCCACTTTTCATCAGCAGTAATCCTCCGTTTCAGAAATTTATCGATTGTGCTGTTCTTTAGCAGCGATTCGCAGATGGAAATTCGGTTTATGAGTTTTTTTTTTGCGTTAAATCATGTGGCACCTATGCATTGAGCTTCGTTTTGTATTTACCCTTATTTAAACGGTTTCAAATGATGACAATGCTAATGGTCGAACTCGATGATTCGATATTTAATCGATATTTTCTACAAAGGGTCTCTAGATCATGGTGCATGGTATGGAAACAACTTATTCCCTACGTAGTGGAGAACAACGATTACATGGTACAGTTATATTGGTAAAGACGGTGATCTTTAGCGGGTCGATCCCTATACAGGAGGTAGCTTCAACATTTTTTGAGTGGCGCTTACAACAATGACTGCTAGATAATTTTAATAGGTTCTTGAATGCCATTCGTAAAGACCGTACCAAAAAGTCGTGAGAGTTTTGAGTCGTGAGACGCAAAAAACTACTAGCTTCACAAAGCATTTACCTTTGAGATCGTTTTTCGGAAAAAAAAATAATCTTAGACCGTCGAAATTTAGAGTATATGCCGTGGATGATGAAATTTTTTATATAACTCAACTATAATATAACATTTATGTCATATTAAAATATATGAAATTTGGGACTTACATATCCATTCACCTGTTGCATGCCACCAACTTAGCGCGGCACACATTCACTTATGTAAACACTATCTTTTATATACATACTTGCGCCTAATGACTCAGTCGGCAAGTTGCCCGTCAGTTAAGTTATACTATAAGAAAGTAAATATTCAGATAGCTGTTTATTTCTACACTAAATTTAATGATGAGCTCATCAGTAATGGACAGTCATTCGAGTGTGCCGCCGCCAATTTCATTAGGCGAAGTAAAGCTTAAATCAACGGCGTCGGCGACACAAATGACCATAGCAAAAAGGCAACAACAATAAAATAAACTTATAGTCATAACAGCACAAAAAATGTGAAAAATAACAGGCAACAACAAAAAGACACCTTTTGAGGAATACTCGCCAGCACTTATGTGACCACATACATACATATGTACATATGTATATATGCGCATATATGGCTAATTGATTTTTCCTGAATTTTTACCGTCACGCTGTCAACTTCAATGAATTGTGTGCCAAAAAATGCATAAAACAACAAAAACAATGATTGCTTGCCAGTTATCGCCTCTAATGCATTGTGACTTTTGTTGCGCATGCGCATTAGCTGCAAGTGAGTACGCAAATATTTGCGTGCCGTGCACATTTCCTGCACTAAAGTGTGGTAAGCAAACCGAAGTGGTTCGGATTTTATTGACTTTTTCTATTTTTGCGTTTCTTCTTCTCCACCAGCGTCGGTTCTTACGCGCCGGTTTCACCTTCATATTTTTTACTCACATGTTTTGAAATATGCAAAGGAATACATCAATTTACATATATGTATTTACATATTCTTATATTTGTGTTTATTTTTTGGCATGTTAGTCCGAAACTTCGAAAAAAATGAAAATTGTTTAAGTGCAATAAGTATGCATGGCGGCGAGTAGAGTAAATATTTAGCATCTCAACGCTGGTTGGCAAACACATCGTGTGTCATTCAAGTGTGAAGGCCATCGCATGGAAAAAGACGGAAAAAAAATATAAAAAAACGTCAAAATTGATTTTAATCGAAAGCGATTGAACGTGAAGGCGTGTTTGTGCATTTTGATTATATTTCGGTATTTTCTTGCGGATATGAGTATAAATCTAGTGCTTCGGATTACCTACATATATGACAATATAAACGAGGGTTTGCATGCGAAATTAGTTTCAAAATTACATAATAATAAAATTAAAAATGTTGACCGAATAACACCATACCATACCATCTGATCACAACTGATCCCGACTGATAAACAAAACTACGTTTTTCCGTATTTTAATACAAATATTTGTTTTCGTCTTCAAAATAAGCTCAATTTGAGCCAATATGAGGATGCCAAAGCTAATTGTATTGTATACACTTGTATACACTTGTTATAAGCCTCGTGTGATAAATTTTGGTTCCTCATCTGCGTTGGCAAGCAACTCTTTTGCGATCCCTACTTGAAGTTTTTTTTTTTATTAATTTTGGACTTTTGATAAGATTATAGCATTAACACATCAACCAGAACTCAATACATTAACCAAAATACTTGTACTTGTATGTTAAGTTAATCTGTAAGACATGTTGAGATCTTCTGCTATCTCTCTGATGCCAATACGTCGATTTTCAAGCACTGTTTCCTTAACTTTTTCGATATTATCGTCATTTACAGAGGGAATGGACGACTTTCATGTGGCCAGTTTTCGATATTTTCACGACCTCAACTTAATGACTCCCAAAAATACTATTGGAAATACAAAATTTCAAGCGACCTCATTTTTAAATTTTTTCAATGGTAAAAGTATAGAAAACTTTTCGCTAATTGAATTATGGCGATCAAATTTCACATAATTATAAAAAATTAGTACCATTCTAAGACAAACTTGTTCATCTATTTTTATTATCGGTTTTCACGCTAATTTATATAGATCAGCCAGAGTAAAATTGATTAGATCTTATTTGTCTTTTCATCAAGTAAGTTTCATAAATGTGTAGAAAGGGTAATGAAAGCATTATATGCCGTTAAACACTACTATCTAATACGGAGTATACCAAAAAAAATTTCTTTAACTTGTCTTTATTAGTCAGTTTACCTTAGCATACACAAAACCTTAAACTCGAGTTTATGTCGAAAAGTGAATGCATTATACAATATGAGGATATGTTTATGTTTTGATTGCGGTAACATAATTTTT